TATGGACGGTTTCTTGAGCTGGGATCTCTGCTTTAACTCGTATACGTATTCAGTTAAATTATGAATGTAGCTTGCAACTGGCGGTTTCAGGAATTGGTAAGAAAATATTCACCCCGTGTTATAAAAACTATTTCCAAAGGCAAATCAGATACAGATTATTGGCCTTGTCGAGCTATTCGTGACGGAAGCGAATTACTCCCGTGAAAACATGGAGAACAATTATGTGAATATCTACTTTCCATTTATGTCCAGAAGCAAAAAAAGAAGCCATCTCAACAATTACTAAACAGAAAAGGGAAACAGGACGGAAATCATGATCGAGATGAGAACCGTTGACTCATCAGGTGAGATACAATATTTGTCAGGCATATCTATCATTACCATTTTCCTTTTTAATGTTCAGTATTGTTTCTAATTGCATTTTTCACGTAAAGCGCTAGGGATAATAGCCTACATCGATAGCTAATTTTGACTTTGCAAATAATGTTTTGCAGCAAATAACTTATACGGCAGCGAATATTTTCATATCAATTCTTGCCAAAAACGCTTGTTGCTACATGAATTCATAATTAAACTTAGTATGTATTATGACGTACCTGGGAAGCGGTACTTTCACGACAAATAAATTATGCAAGGGACAGGTACATTTTCGTGAATGGGTCTCCAGGAATTTGGCGCAGCATAGGAAGATAATCGTTATAACTTTTTTTGCACATTTAAATATTTTAATGATCAGAGAACACTCTTTACAAATAGTATTTACAAATCGCAATGCGCAGGCCTTGGAAACAAGCGCACGGTTAACGCTACCTTGATGTTTTAAAAAACCACCTGCTTCCTCTGGAGGCGACCGGGGCCGTCGTGGCAACGGCGGCGGTGTCTTCGGCAATCTTCGGTTCACCCCGAAGTCCGCCGGAAATTCGCCCTCCCTCGGCGACCAACTCCTCTAGCCCCAACGTAACGGCTGATGAATTCGCCAGGGTCCACCCCAGACGGTGTGAATAATGTCTCACGGGTATTGGAACGCACGACGCGTGAATGATGCTCGTCGGCTGTTCTAGTCTTTTCAGCGACCTTTCTCAACTTTGCGCGGATGTCCGTACAGTACTGCCCACTGTTATATTATACCAGGGCGGGATTATGACACGATTTCCTGTCTTATTGGTTTTTTTTATCAGTTCTGGTGCGCAATTTTACTTCCACTAATCATCTGATTGTTGATCCTTATCGAACCTGGTTCCACACTCAACGGCCACACTCAGTCCGAATTGCACTTAACAACGACAACAAATCTCTTGGACGCAGCACTGCCCCGTCCGTGCTTCACTCGAGGCCTCTCCGCGCACCACTAACTGTCGCTCGCCTCGCCGTTTCCCCCCCTCCCCGATTTGGCCGTTGGTGGCGGCGGCGGCGTTACTGCGCTGATCAACTCCAGTACTTTATTTTAATTTATAATTGGTGATCAATTTTAATTGTTCTAGTTTGCTGAACAGAAACGTTCTTCGTTTTAGTATATAAGTTAGAAGAGACATCCCAGAGCTCAAGAAACCATGCACATTTTGCATTCCCCCCCCCAAATTCATCGCACAGTTTTTTAAACTGTTTTGACGTAAAATAAACAAATCGAAACAGATATGCAGCAAAAAATATTTTGCACTTGAACTTGTGCATCAGTTGTAATGTTTAATGCCATTTGGCAATGTGCTGTAATATAATATACACATATTATTTGTGAGATTATAAGCGATAACGAATGAGTTGCGATAAAACACATCTATTGTGCATTTAAATGAATGTGTCATTTGTTATTTGACTAAATTGAAAGACCAACAATTTTGTTATCTTAATGTATGTAAATGATACATTTGTCATGTTCAATAAAGTGTACAATGGTTTATTTGCAATCAAAAAATGAATCAAAACAGTTTTCCTTCATTTACTAATAATTTGTAATTACGTAACCATTTTGAAACATCTTATATTGTATTATTTACGGTTTCTTTATTGTAACAACTATTATCACCCAAAAGAACTGTTCACAAAATGGTTTTTCATGTAGTAGCACGAAACCTGTTCAAGAACGTCAAGTAAATTAGTCTTTAATAACATTGCTATAAATTGAATATATTTTAACCAACAATATCTTCATAACTACTGCAATATCATAGTGTAGTATACACAGGTCAACAATTGATTACACAGCAATAATAAAAAAATATATTCCATAACTGCAATACGTGAATTGAAAGTATCTAACGGTATGTGACTTCGTCCTCCCTGCCAGCGGTGACACTCTTCTCCCTGTTTCAAAGTGGCAAAAAAATGCGAAAAAATTATAACATCTGGTGGTATTATGGGTGTCTATTAATATTGGTTTCTGGTAAATTGGTGTATTTAATCTCACTACTACCTAAAATCGCGCAGTTGCGACTTTGCTGACAGCTGGATGTGAAATGTGGAATCGGCAGCCGAATGCATTGCGCTACTTTCTGTCTCTAGGAACGGGTCGGGGTTTCGATACTACCTCGCGTCTTTCAGTTGAGTCTCTGTAGCACACACCAAACTTTGCTTATTGATCTCAACCTCGAGGGTGCAGATTGGATTCGGACTGAGGTGTCTGGATTTCCTTAGGACAAAAAGCCAATACCGACCATGTCCTTGTGGGCGTTATGTAACTAACGTATGTCGAAAGCGAATCGTCCGTCAATTCCCGTATTAATCGGATTCCATATTAATTGATATAGGTACAGAAATCCGACCGGTTATCATCGCGGACGATTTAAACCGTGCATCGGAAAACTAAAGATAAATCTGACATTCATTAGTTGCAAAACGTTATTGACGAATTGTTGAAATTGACCTATGAAAACGGTAGGGAAATAAATCTAGATGAAAGCTAAACAATTAGTTTTACGAAGTTTCGAACGCAGTAATCTCCAATTTACAAAGGGAAGAAATAACATTCTAGAGGTTCGTACCTGTAGATATCTGAGCGCAATACTTCGGTGCGACCTCAGCTGGGCTAATCAAGTTAGATATACTACACCAATTTGTAAAGCTTTTCATTTTCTAACGCGCATATTACGGTAAACTAACTAACACTAAGTCTCAGCCCTACACTTCCTTGGTTCGTCCCTTCATGAAATACAGAGTAACATGTTAGTATTCTCAGTAGAAAATCTGCCATCTACCTAAATTGAAATATAGAACCGCCTGGTAAGAGACCCTGCAATGTTAACAACTGTCCTGTGACATTTCGGCGATGGCGTGATTTGTTTCACCTCTACCATCTGGAATAACGCATAATTCCGCGAACCGGTTTTCCCTACCACCGAAGTTCTCCCAAGCCTTCGGGGCGCGCTCCAGACATCTTCGACATACATCAGTTGCAAAACAAATATTGCGAATTATTGAAATGGAACCAATAAAACGGAATGAAAACAAGCCAGGCAAAAGATAAAAATTAGTTTTACGAAAACTCTAACGCATGTGACTCTCCTATATACGAAGGGAAGAAATAAAATTTTGGAGTTTCTTAGCTGTCGATATCTGGGTGTAATACTTCGATATGACCTCGACTGGTCTCATCAGTTTAAATGTACTACCAAAAAGTTGGGTACTCTTCATCTTGTTACGTGCATAAAGGTTTGTAAAGCTAACACTAAAATCCAGCCATTTACTTCCTGGGTTCTTCCCTTAATGGAACACCGAGTAATGCAATGTGTTTGCAATGTGTTTGCAATACAAACTTGTGTTTGCAATTGTGTCTCATTAAAATAAGACCACTATTCAAATATATTAAGGAATCAGCTTGTATAATAACTTGAATGAGATATTAGCTTGATGTCTTTCTGAGAATTATTGGTGTTTTTCAGGAAAATACTGTGTTGTTTCTTAAGTATTAATCATTATCTTATTTCAATCAGCAAATATTTGCTATGTGTTATGATGTTATGTCTTTTTTGATTTTGCAAGAATTTTTAAGATATTCTGACAATATTTTTGTTATTATGTGGATTTTTATCCAGAAATTCCAAATATGTTTTATTTTTAAAATAATTTTAATACATGCATGTTTTTTTATGTGCGTGTATTTGATGCACTGCCTAATTTCAAGATGTTTTCATTTCATTTGAACATACTTATAAATAAAAGTTTTTACTGTATTACAAAAATGAAAACAATTGGTTTCCTGGTACATTTTTTCTCTTTGTACATTTTTTTTCATTTTTGTGTCAAATGATTTCAGAGTGAGGGAAATGTCAAAGACTTGGACTTTTTCCAATGTTGGAGGATTTCATTTTGTGACACTCCTGGGACAAGTATGAGAGAAGGTTACATGGGTAGACTATTTTTAAAGCCATACTATTTTTCCAGTTTTTTACTAGTGATGTGTGAAGATAATAATGCCAATAATGATTATGATGATGAGATTATAATCCTGGTGTAGAACAATAAACAATCCAAAAAATATTCTAATTAAATCTTAAATAATAAAAATTAGAAAAGGTTAAAATAATTTTTATTGAAATATTAGAAAACAAGAAAGAAATTCAGTACTTTATTGCAGAATAGTAAATTAATAGTTAAAGCTTTAATTACCTCATCCATTTGCATTATATTTTCCAGTCTTTTGTTTTTTCCTTAAATGCACCCTGGACTTACAAAGTAATCCATCACCTAAGAATTTTACCCTGAGAAATTAAATCCATTTGCTTGTTAAACTTTGTGGATAATTATAATTTGCATGCTTTGCCAATTTACTGAATTATAATACATTGTACAGACAAAAAAATCTGTATTTCTGTGATAATTATTTGGATTATGGTACACTTTTAGTCATTAATCCATATTCAATACTTCTATATCATACCAAACTTTTTTTCTGATATTTATGTTATTCAAATTTAACAATTTTAAAATCCATTTATTGCAATAAAAAATGTTAAAAACTCCAATGTGTGTGATTTCAAGTTAAGGTATCACACAAATATGTACATGAAAGTTTAGGCACATTTGACTTTGGCACACTAGTCCATTAAAATGGTTCTTTCCAAGCAATAGGATTTCAAAATCTCCTGTTGAGCAAATTTTAGAAAACAGACAGATTATGCAGGTTTTTTTGTTAGTGTAACTAATATATATTTTCAAATGCCATAATTAATATAAATATTATTTTTATTACAATAATTGTGTAGAACATTATGTTATTTTAAATGCTTATATCCCAGACACTGCCACAGATTCAGGCAGCAACAGGCAGTCCCAAGTGACCACTGTCAATATGAGCTCACAAGGACAACATCACAAACAGCTCTCCCCTGTAACAGATGCCCCAGTCCCCTGCGATCGCTTCAGTGACATTACATCTCATTATTCAAGTGATGATGACAGTAGCTCTGACGGTAATATTTCTGAAGAATCAGCAGGCCATGTCCAGAAAATGAGATCATCTCCCAAACTGAAGAAAAATAAGCATGCACATCACCATGGGAAGCACAGGTTCGAACTTTGCTCAAAGTTATCAGTTGAATCCAGAAGTTCTATTAAAAATATGTAAATTCTTATACAATTTTGTACTTGAAATTTTGTCATTTACATGAGTAAAATGGACTGTAGAAAAGAAGCTATAAATGTCAAGGATATTTGGAATGGCATGTGTTTGTTGAAAGTACATAATGTGTATATACTATATTGTATTATTGTATCCTATACCTTGGTTTTGATGAAAATGTGTATGAAAACCAAAGTATTTACAATGTGTATAAATACTTAAGTTGGTGTTAGCTATGTTTCAACATGTTGAGTGTCTTTCTTGACCCAACACATCAGCCAATAAATTTTAAACCTATATTTGTTTATATTCAAAATTGCACACATGTGGAACACCTGCTTGCACATGCACCCATACTTGCACACTCACTACCTACACACTACACACAAACAGATACACTCACACATAGACACCCACACACAAACACATACATTATTTGTGCACATTGCTCTATCAATGTTTTTTTTTTGTTACTATATTATCAAAATTTAAACCATTTATAAAAATTGTTGTTTGGATATATTAGTAAAAATATCATGAATTGTCTCAGAATTACATGCAAACTACTCATATTTTGAAAACATTATTCATGATATTATTTAAAGATCTAATTTTGAAGAATGTGTATTATTAAGTAACATTTCCATCTTCAATAACGTATTTTTGGGAAGAGTAAAAAAATTTACCTTTGTAATTTTTATGAAAAAATTGGCATCATTTAAAACATAATCAAAAATATCCTAGACCTTTATAATGTACCTCTCAAAAAAAAAAAAAAAAAAAAAAA